TTGGTCGTGGGGTCTTTTAACCTGTAGATGTAGCAATTAGTTGGGGTCTGCCCAAGACCTCATGGATAAATATTGATGATGGATAAATACTGGTGAACCTGGACTGTTAGAGGCAGTTGCAGAGATGGCTAGTAGCCTGGTGCAAGGAAGGAGAAAGAAAACTTATAAGAAGAGGAGGTAACGGCGCAGCAGCGGTAAGTACATTCAGCATGAGCAGACACAGTGTGAATTTATAGCCTGCTTTTAGCTGCTTCAGAGCATTCAGATGCAGGCCGCTGTGGGAGCAAGGCAGAGGGGGCTAGCTACGGTGGGAAGGAGGGGTGACACAGTGTGAATTTATAGCCTGCTTTTAGCTGCTTCAGAGCATTCAGATGCAGGCCGCTGCGGGAGCAAGGCAGAGGGGGCTAGCTACGGTGGGAAGGAGGGGTAGTTGATATCTGTTATACACTCACATGAGAGAAAGCGTCACCACTTTGCAGGAAGTTGGTGGCTGAGCCTCAGAGTGGGACCTGTCAGTGAGACAAGGTTGAGTCTTAAAATATCAGGTGTCTGAGTTGAGAGGGTCTTAAATCTCATTAGCCTGTCCCAGCACTGAGTCAAAGGGATGCGGAAGCCCAGAGAAGCCGGGCTCCTGCTCCCACCCCTGGCTCACCAGCAGCTCTGCTCCTACTGGGCAGCCAGACTACTGCAAGAAACGTCTGTCTGTATCCTCAGCACAGTGTTGGCAGGTGGGATATTTGCTAAGTAAAAGTTTACAGAATAAATTAATAGACAGTGAATGTCTCCATGGTCCACCTGCCTTCCTGAGCCCATTTTCTCCTTCATTTCACTTTAGTTATATTATACCATTATTTTTTGAGCAGAGTCTCTACTAGCTGGTCCAAACTGACCCTGGCTTCACCACCCCCACCCAAGCAGATGCATGAGACTGGGCTGGCTGGTTAGCTCAGTTAGTTGTAGCTCAGCCTTATAATATCAGGATCACGGTTCAGATCCCCATACCGGCCAGCCGCCAAAAAAAAAAAGTCACAGTCCGGAGCTGGAGTTGGAGCCAGGCAGGGGTGCACCAGGGGGAGCAGTGTCTGAGTCGTGCCTTCCCCTCCTAGCCTTCCCCACTGCCCCTGCGACCTGTACAGCCAATGGCCTCTGCAAAGATGTTACTGGGTAGTGTTACCCCCTTTGGGGTAGTTAAAAGGAAAAGTAAGGACTTGAGGAGGCTGGGCCATATACACTACAGTGACCTTCATCCACCATTTGGGTGGGAACCACCAAGTGGCTATGGGAAGAACAGGATTGTTCTGACATGTGATCATATCTCTCTCTTTGAGGCTGGGCTCTAGCTTCATCTGGAAACCTCCCTGCCAAGCTGGGAGGAACCGAGCCTCCCCAAGCCCATTTAACAGGTGACGGCACCACTGCTGGCTGGAGAGAGTGAGTCACCAGGGCCTCAAAGTGGGACTGAGGCTGGGCTGGGCCCCTTCCCTATGTGTCTGCTCAGCTGCTCCTGCCTCTTCCCCTTCCCAGTTCTGAGACTCTGAGCTTCCCCATTTAGGACGCTACTGAGAAGGGGGCTGAGGGACCCCACTTTGGCCTGTCCTAAAGCTGTTTGTCACTCATGCCCACCCCAGGACCTGTCTACCATGGCCCCAGGGCCATCAGAAGAGGCTGACATTTGCTGAGCACATGTTCTGTCCTGGGCAGTTAAAGCTGTGTAAATACCTTCTAAAGAAGCAAAATCAGTTAATTAAGGAAAGTGGGAAAATGGAGAACAACAGGGAAAGAAAGCACCCTTTGTCTCATCGCACAGAGACAACTGCTGATGTTTGGCTGTTTCCATAGACTGTTTTACAGGTGCAAGCATATTGTGTATAAAACTTTGTATTCTCCCTCCCTTTTTTTTCTGGCACTTAAAATTTTATTTTAAACTGTGGTAGAATATACCTAACACAAAGTTTGTCATCTTCACCATTTTTAAGTGGACAGTTCAGTAGTGTTCACACTGTTGTGCGGCCTTCCCCCGTTTCTATCATAACTCCACTGTGAGTGCTTGTGGATGCGCACGTGGGTTCCTTGTCTTCAACATCACCGTTGTTAATGACTGCACAGTGCTGCAGCCTTTGGATTTGGTGGACATGCTAGGATTCATTTATCCCCTGTTGTTGGACATTTAGGTTACTGCCAATTATTTCCTACAATGGGTAGATCTTTGAATATAAAGGTTTTTCACTCGAGGATCATTTCTTTGGGTAGTTTCCCAGCAGAGGAGGCACTTCTGGATGGAGGAGTGGGGCCAATTCTCTAGTTGTTGGCACTAGCATCCACTGTGGGATCCCTCATAGTCCTCTGGTTGGGCAGGAGTTTTTTACACAGAAGGAGAGACCAGAATGAACTGGAAGGGACAGGGCTTGTGAGTGAGACCCTGCCAGGAACTGGAACCTGCTCCAACTTTGGGGGGTATTTGCAGCAGGGCAGACCCTTGTGGCCTTGAAGAGTGGTACTCTGGAGCAACTGGACCCTTAGATGGCGCAGGAGGTGGGCGAAGGAGGCCCTGGCTGTCCTGCCTTGGCCGCCACCAATTGCCTTCCCTGCACACCCCTGGCCTCAGCTGTCAAGAGCAGTGAGGACAGACACACTCTCTGTACTGATTGGGAAAGCTCTTTAAGACATGGTGTTATGTGTAAAGAGCATAGAGCCAAATAGTGTGTCTGGTATGCAACCTGTTCTGAAAAGTGGGAGAAATAAGCATTTGTACTGGCATGGGCTCGGCTTAGCAACAAGGATCTCTGGAAGGAGACACAGGGAACTAATGAAAGTGGTTACTTGTTGGGAGAATGAGAGAAAAGAAATCAATGTGGGACAGGGCAGGGCAGCTGTGAGCGTTTTCATGATACAAATTTTTATACTATTTAATTTTTGAAACGTGAATGTGTTATTTTAAAAAATTAAACAATTAAAAATGAAAAAGAAGACATTAAGTCCAAGTTCCATGAGAATTTTTTCCTCTGAGTCCCAGTTATTTAAATCATCCCCAGAGTGGTCACAGTCCCTGTTTGATGAGTGTCTGTTATATGCGAGGCACTGCAATAGCCACTCCACAGTTGTCCTCAAACCCAGGCAGGGACTCTCACCCAGGACCATCCCTCTCCACTTTTCTCTGCCCCTGAATTCTGAGGAGATGGTCATTCTTGGTTTAACCATAGTTCATGTAGGATGAAAAGGTGGCCCCTGCATGTTAATAGTGGTTTCTGTGGATGTGGAAGCAGGGTGATTTTTCTCTCCATCCCTCTGCTTATTTTCTGCATGTAAATAACAGATTACTTACATCATTGAAAGGAAAATATTTTAAAACAAACTAAGCAATTCTTGCTTTAAAAGCTGAGATGATGTTTTTAGGCCAAATTTGTGGTTTGACAGCAGGACTTCTTCCACATGCTCTGAGCACAGTTTGTGGTATGTGGGCCCCTGGAGACGGAGAACTTGGTTCATTGGTGCCCATTCCATAGGACGTGGCTAGCCCTCTGAAGGTGTCAGAAGATTGCAGAGGTTGTGGTCATGCTTGCTGTGCTTTCACCGTGCCTGCTGATGGTTACCTCCAGAATTTACTGTCTGCAGCGTTCTGGGTCGAGAATTCAACCCCACCTTTGATTTTATTCTTAGTGGAAAACAAGATCCGGTTCTTGATGACCCACTTTGTGCTTCAGTCCCCAGGAGCTCACACACTTTTCCCTGCTGCTCCTGGTGTTGACATAGACTTGGGGTAGCCCCTGGGATGGAGAAGTAGTTCCTTCCTTGGGCTTTGAAGGGTGGGTAAGAATTTGGGAGACAACAGGAGGGCAATCAGCATTTCAGGCTAAGGTATGGGATGGGCAAAGGTGTGGAAGGGGGAGTAGATTTGGAAGATGGTTTTCTGGCTCAGAGCATTGTGCAAGGTGACTGATAGGAAGGGAGAGCCCGAGCTGGATTGTGAAAGGTCCCTGCCCTAAGTGGCAGCAGAGATACTTTCTTCTGCCTCTTCGCACCCTCTGCAGTGGTAGCTGTTCCTCTTCTGCAAAAAAACCTGGAGATTGCAAGCCGTGGGCGGGATGCCCTCCCGCCTCACCCAAGCGTGGCTGATGCTGCAAACCACACGGTGGGGGGAACTTGGTGTGGAAACTGAAACTGCCTCGGCCTCAAGCTAGAGAGAGTGGCACCCTGTGCCGTCCACACCAGGGATCCTCTCTGGGCTGGTTCTGGAAGGTCGCTCCCTCCCAGGCTCAGTCACTCCCCTTCTTCCAGAAGAAAACAGGCTTCTTTGAAAGCCCCCGAATGGCTGCCACCCTCACTTGCTGGGTGGCCTTGGAGAATCATTTCCCCTTTCTAAACCTCAGTTTTCTCATCTGTAGGATGTTAGGGTGATGATCACCTAAGATAAAGGTCTTAAGGTTGGGAGGTTGCTCAGGACAGTGTTAAGGGACCGCCTCCTCCTGCTCACCATGGTGAGTTAGCAGACCAGGACTGGTCCTGAGGGACCAGAGGTACAACTGGAGATGCTGCCACAGAGTGAGCCTCTATGTGGGTCTTCCCATTTCCAGAATGCCTCCTCAGCTCTGTTCACCAGTGCTTCTTACATCCCACCTGCAGAGAGTCATTCCTTTGGGTTCAAGTAACAAGACGATCTATGTTATCTCAATTCCGACACCAGTCCTGTGAGGTTGGTATTCTTATTCCTGCTTTACAGAGAGGAAATTGAGACTCGTACAGAGGATGTGGGGCTGGGGATGCCATGCAGATGGACTTTGGGACTGGGCCAGGCCTGGCTGCTATCTTCCTAGGCCTGTGTCAGAGAGCCCTTAGGGTGAGTGGGAGTGTGTGGGGTTTGCTGAGGCCCAGCACCCTGAACAACTGGTGATGGAGCAGGCAGGCTGGTGACAGTTCCTTCCACTGGTGTTGACAGGCCATCCACCATTGGCCAACAGGAAGTGCCAGCTGGAGCCCCAGAGACTAGTAGCCAGTGTGGGGATGGGGTAGCCAGATGGAACTCAGGGCTTCCCAGCTATGGAAGCAGAAATGGAAGACTGAGTCATACTTGGGGGAGCGGAGAAGAGTGAGTGACGGCAGATCTTGTAGACTGTCATTTCAGAAATCCCAATGCCTAGGCCATGCCCCGGGCCAATTTCATCCAAATTTCTGGGGTGGGACCTGGACATCAATATTTTTCAAAGTTCCCCAGTGCCTCTAACATGTGGCCAGGGTTGAGAACCACTGGTGTAGACAACTGTGGTGGATTAATATCTGTTGCTGATAATGGGCGCACATCTGGCTTTTACCATTCACGCCACCTCATTGTACTCGCCTGAGAGAGAGCAGAGCTTAGAGAGTTTTTTTGATGGTAAATATACGTAACATAAAATTGACCATTTTAACCATTTTTAAGTGTACAGTTCAGTGGCATTAAGTACATTCACTATTTCTACTGTCTCATCATCCTGAAGAGAAACTGTACCCATTAAGTAATAATTCTTGGAGCTTCTGGATAGTTTGAATACGTGGAGGTTCCTGGAGGGTGGTGCACCCAGGGAGGGCATGGAAGCTCAGCACCCCTTCCCCCATACCTTGCTCAGTGCATCTCTTCACCTGTATCCTTTGGAATAGCCTTTATGATAAACTGGTAAATGCATCGGTTTCAAATGTCAAGGAATCCAAAGCTTCTGAAAAACCATTTGTAGTTGCTAGTCTCTGGGTTGGCCTTTTTAGTGGTCAATTATTGGCCAAATTAGCAAAGAGTCACTTCCAAGATATTAAGAATGAGAGTGGAGATGTTGGAGATGTGATATATCCAACAAAAACTGCAAGAGTTGCATACGTAATATTCAAAGAAAAAAAGTTGCAGAGAATGTCATCAGACGAAAGAAACACCATCTGGGAGAGAAGGCTGGTTGTGCTCTCGTGGTCTCTCATTTTAGTAAAAATTTCTTCAGCTCTCAAACTGCAAGAGTTGCATACGTAATATTCAAAGAAAAAAAGTTGCAGAGAATGTCATCAGACAAAAGAAACACCATCTGGGAGAGAAGGCTGGTTGTGCTCTCGTAGTCTCTCATTTTAGTAAAAATTTCTTCAGCTCTCTAAATGCTATCCTTGACCTTTCTGTTTTCTGGAGTCAAGTTACTCTAGAAAGTCTGGTAATAGACTTAAAAAAGAAAATCCAAACATTAAGCTTCAGTCCTTTGGAACTCAATGGAAGAATCTCCATGGAAGGACCATTTCTGGCTATCGAGAAGCTCAAAGAATCTTTGCTATTAAAAGCAAGTTCTCTTTTAGGAAACAAACAAACAAACAAACAAACAAAAAAACAGGAGTTTTACCAGTGGAGGGAGAAAGTAGAACAAAGCCCAAAAAGGAGTCTACAGAGAAGCAAATAACTCTTTGGAGTCACTCAGGACATTAGTACCTGAGACTACTGGGAGTGGAGAAAA